TGGTCGGGGCACAGCGACGGCCACCATCTCTAGGGAGTAGCTGGAGCATTCCATGCTCAGCAGACTCCAGCCCTCGGCAGTAGAGGTTACTCCTGTTGGATAAGCGTATAATGGTATTTGAGATTGAAGCTATCATTTTGGCTTCATGTTCTCTTATTGCTGTGTACGCTCCTACCAATGTTTGTAAACTTGACGTGAAGAGATGTTCTGCGCTAAATTATCTGTAGGTAGAACAGATGTCCCCGTGAGATTATTCGTATTGTATTTCTAGCTGTGATCGAGCTGGCTATGAATGTCTGTCGGTCCATGGCTCAGAGCTGATGGCCGGTAGTGAGAATAGCCTCCTTCTCCGGGACTTTGCTAGGATCCCAGAAATTGAGGATTTCTGGCTCCTGGTACCCAGCGCCTAGACCACATCGCTGGACATGGTACAGTGATGCGGGTAATGCAGCCAAGGAGATCGACCACATACTCGTTAGGACTCGTTGGAGGATCATCCAGAATTGCAGGGTGTACAGGAGTGCTGAGTTCTGTGGTACTGACTATAGATTGGTTGTGGCTACCCTCCGGGTCCACTTCAAAACTCACCAGCGGTCAAATGATCCACCTAGGGTGTTTCATTTGGACAGGCTGAGGGAGGGGGAGTGTGCCCGTGGGTTTGCTGAGGCAATCTCTGATCGTTTCGCAATGCTCGACAGTCTGACAGACCCTGTTCTTCTGTGGGATACCTTCAAGCGCAAAACGCTTGATGCAGCTCCAGATACGATTGGTGTACGGCTGAGAGCAGTACAGAATTCCATCTCGCAGGAGACACTGGAAGCCACAGATGCATGTCGTGCGGCTCGTCTGACAGGGGATCAGGAATTGCACCGTTTTCATGTGCGCAGAACTCGGTCTCTGTTAAGAAGGTATAAGGAACAGTTTATTAGGAGTCTTGCAGAGGAGGTAGAGGCCAATTTTCTTAGTAAATGACCTTTTGTCTTGCATACCAAAGCCCTGAGAAAGCTGAACTCCAAGCCCTCTTCCCAGCAGGTGACAGCAGTTTCGCTCAGTAAGTGGTGAAGATCGTTTCAGATCCTGTTGCTGTGCAGGAACGTTGGGCTTGAGCATTTTGAGCAGTTGTCCAGGTTGACTCAACCACAGTGACTTGGATGCGGGTAGTGTCGAGATCCCGCTGCCGGATCCACCCATCAGTGAGGACCATCCCTCCTTAACTGAAGTTAGGGGGGCGATTTCCAAGCTGAAGAGTGGTAAAGCAGCAGGTATCTGCAGCATACCAGCTGAACTTTTAAAGGCTGGTGGTGAACCTATGGCACGGGGTTTACATGCAGTCCTGGCTGCCATCTGACGGTCCGGTACCATTCCTCCTGACCTGTTGAGGAATGTGGTCATCCCTTTCTGGAAGGGGAAGGGCGACCTTTGGGACTGCAGCAATCACCGAGGCATCACACTGCTCAGTTTACTAGGCAAGGTTCTCGCCCACATCCTTCTGAGACGTATGAGAGGCCATCTACTGAGGACCAGAGACTGGGAAGTAATCCGGATTCACTCCTGGTAAGTCCACAATAGACGTATCCTCGCGCTTCGAGTCATTGTAGAGCGCCGCGCGTGAGTTCAGGCGTGGGCTGCTTGCAGCCTAACATACGACCTCAAGAAGGCGTACGAACGGTGCATTCAGGAGTCACTCTGGGAGATTCCCGAGACTGAGAGGAATTCCAACAAGGATTAGAGACTAATAGCAAGCCTGTTACTGGAATTATTCAAGTGCTGTAAAGTGTGGTGGGGGCCTGTCGACCTTTTTTCCTGTTAGTTCAGGAGTGAGGCAAGGCTGTGTCCTTGCGCCAACTCTTTTCAATACTTCCATGGATTGGATACTAGGCAGAGCTACTGTTCAAAGTCATTTGGAGCAAACACTGGGCATATATCAAGGTTACAGACCTTGACTTTGCTGATGATGTTGCCATTCCATCTGAGTCTTTGGAAACCCTAGTGGCGGCTCTGGATGCATTTAGCAATGAAGCGATACCCTTGGGTCTAGAGGTCTGGATCAAGACCAAGGTCCAGGAATTTGGGGACTTGTTAGGAGAACCTGTTCAGTCGGTTCGTGCTCGCGGCGAGGACATTGAAGTCGCAGAGAGCTTTACATAACTTTGTCTTCAAGTTTTCATGGCCCTGATAATGCCACTTTTGCTATACGGTAGTGATACCTGGACATTGTCCTGTGCCTTAGAGGCTCGTCTTGAAGCCTTTTGTAATAGGTCCTTGCGCCGGATCATGGGGTACTGTTGGCGGGACTATGTGTCCAACCAACGGTTGCACCGTGAGACTGGCCCAGGACCTGTTATCTGCAGAATCATCATCATCATCACGGGGGCTAACGCCGACGGGGGCGCATAGCCGCATCCACCCTTCGCTTCCACCTACGAGGATCCCTCATGGCTAGACGCTAGGCAGGGACTCGGCCCATCTCTAGTTTCTCACGGCAGGTTTGGCCGATCTG